ATCGTGCCCTCCGGTGGCCGTCGGCCGCACTGCCCTGCCCGGCCCTGCACTGCCCTGCCCTGCCCGGCTCCGCACTGCCCTGCCCGGCTCCACACTGCCCTGCCCGGCCCTGCACTGCCCTGCACTGCCCTGCACTGCCCTGCACTGCCCGGCTCCGCACTGCCCTGCCCGGCCCTGCACTGCCCTGCCCTGCCCGGCTCCGCGCTGCCCTGCCCGGCTCCGCACTGCCCTGCCCGGCCCTGCCCGGCTCCGCACAGCCCGGCCCCGCACTGCCCTGCCCGGCTCCGCACAGCCCTGCCCCGCACTGCCCTGCCCGGCTCCGCACAGCCCTGCCCCGCACAGCCCTGCCCTGCCCTGCCCCGCACAGCCCTGCCCCGCAGCCCCAGCCCTGCCGGAGGAGCCGAGCCGAGCCGCACCGCGCCCATCCACGCCGGGCCCAGGTAGGGAGGACCAATGACAGGAGATGCTTGTCAGCTTTTCCGCGTCCTTGGTTGTATGAGCTACAGCGGTGATAGGAAGGAAAAAAGAGCTGGAAGACAAGAAACGTGTCCCGCTCCCATGCCCTTTATTCTGCCCGTTTGCTGTCACTGAGCAGAAAGTTGTACCAGGGCATAGTGAGAGTTCTCAGCCAGTTTCCCTGTGTGCTTTCTACACGGAGCAAATTACAGCATGAATGCCAGTGGAGAAGTGCTAGGTGCTCTCTCGTCTCTTTCCAAGGATATGGTCCTGACCAGGCTTTCACCTAGAATCCATAGGAATTAAAATACCTGGCTACAGAAACAAACAGGGAAACTTCAATTGATTTCAATTGGTCTTTGCATCATAAAGATAAAACCTCTGAGAAAACACCCAATTGAAGGCTATGGCATCAAAAACAAGCAGGCAGGCAGGCTGCCTCTAGGCATGCATGCATGTAACACATTGCTCAATATTCCAAGAAATCACGAGCAGTGAGAGTTTTACCACAGTGAACAGCCTTTGTGATCTAAATTACATGTGTATGTGCTTGCTGTATGGGGGAAAAAGAACAGCCTTATTGCAATCCAACCGTAATTTGTGTGCATGCACAATGTGTATAGCACATTGATGAGGGGCAACATTGTAGTTGCAGCCACCAGATCTTGAGCACTTTAGTGCTTAAACTTCTGCACTGGTTTATAAACAGGCAGACAAAAGTGAGTCATTCATTCATTCATTCTTAGAAATCAAGGAAATAATCAACCTTTTGACCTATTCCCCTGAAAAGCTGTGATGTTTCTGCCTGGCTAAGGCAGATACTGCTTGTCCTGTCCTGCAAGTGTCTCAACAGTTCATGGGTGCCTACAGTAGGGCTGGTATAAAGCTGGGGAGATCCTTTACAGCTATTTCACTGCAATCCACCATGACTACGATGATCGTCGTAGACCAACTTACTCCTCATTTCTTCCTCCCAGGAGTTTGTAGTTTATTTAGCTGTGTTCACAGCCATACCTGTAATCTAGATTTACCAGTGCTTTGTACTTTTCTGCACAGGTGATAAAATGCTGGAGTGCTCTGTGTCCCGTGAGTGTCCCATGTAAGAGTTCATCCCACAACACATATTTTCTTGAGCTGAGTCCCAGGGAAACTTGCAGGAATGGACCTGGAAATATCTCTAGAAAGGCCCTTGATCTGTTTGCAGTTTTGTTTGCTGCCACCAAAGAGTGAAACAGGGTTGAAATTCTGCCTAAGGAGCCAGGAGAGTTCTTACCCAAGCCATGCCTATGCATAGAGAAAAACAGGACTTGCTATCCTTTGTCCCATGCTCTAAAGTGGTCTGCAGAAGTACCTTAGTGGCTTAATGGTCGTTCAAAACAGATGGTTTAACACTGCATAACTAAAACACAATTATTACTTTAGTGTGAAACACAAAGGCTTCACCTCAATCCCCATCAGAACTGTAGATTTCAAAATAAACCAGAATTTAATTGATTTTCTTTAATCCCTGCACAGACTTCCCTTCCCTCCTGACATATATATGCATTCACACTGCAAAAGATCAACAGTCCATGCATGCACACACAAACACATCCTCACATATAAACACAGCAATATGTCTTTCTCTCTCACACAGGCTCCCAGACTTGACTCTCTGACACCTCCACCCTCCTCCCAACACATCTCCACACACTCCAGCCCTAGGCAGGGTTGTTGCCTGCCAGCAGGCCTGGGGATCTAAGCAGGCTCCTACACACAGCCAGCCCAGCCCAAGTCCCTGGGGACAGATTGTTGCCACCACAGCTCATCTGGCCCTTGCTCTCCTGTGTGGGTCTTGACAGTAACATCATGGGCTGCTCCTGAGCCCATCATTTGTGAGTCAGAGATAAAACAGAAGCCATAATGAAGATGATGGGGGGGGGGGGGGGGGGGGGGGGGGGGGGGGGTG